TAACATTATTATCATAAGGAAACAAGATACTGGTCTGAAATTATATAACATTATTATTATAAGGAAACAAGATACTGGTCTGAAATTATATAACATTATTATCATAAGGAAACAAGATGCTGGTCTGAAATTATATAACATCTTCAAACAACCATCATCAATTCAACATTTTACAATTAAAATATTTAGAAATAGGGAATAAAGGTTGTAAATTTGAATTAATGACAAAATTACCAAAGCACTGGCACAGGACTTATAATAGGTTTCAGGGTAGGGAGGGTTTGATCCAGACTTTAATTGTGTTCTTTAATTCTTATTCCTCCGACCTATATTTGAACCCACAATCACCATTTGTTTGGCATGTTAAATTTTGAAGCTTAAATCCCCCACGCTTCAGCCAATTCTCCAAATTGAAATAAAGTTACTAAAGTTATTAAACTTATGAAAGGCTGCCAAAACCCACAGAATAGAACTACCATATTATATAGTATACTACCTCTTAGGATGAGCACAAAATTCAAATTTTTAAACTTGCTTAAAATGAGTCTTTGTTCATCAGTAGACTTACCTGGTGTAATACTATATAATAGAATCTCTCTATAATCCATAAAACTAAGTAATAATTCATTAAATTAAGTAATAATTCATTAAACTAAGTAATAATTCATTAAATTAAGTAATAATTCAATAAATTAAGTAATAATTCTTATATAGAGATTCTATTTTTTAGTCATGGCACCAGGTAAGTTCAATGGATGAATATATACTCTTATTGACCAAGTTTGAGACTGGAATAGGGAGCTTAACAGTAGTTTAAATTCTATATTTATAAGACTGAGAATGCAGAGATGAATTGTAAATTAACAGACTGGATAAACTTACCTATTAAAAGTCTGTGTAGCTGCTAGATAAATATAGTTTTCATACAATAACTGTGGACCTTCACCAAGTTGATTGAGATTATAATTAGCTGTCATTCCACCAGGTATCTGTAGACTTAATACTGGATCTAATATAAGTTCATCCCATGAATATACACCTACAAGTGAGAAATAAATTCATTTATATGTTTATAATTGACAGTGCTCATAGATTAGTTGAATGGCATCCTGTTTATTTAAAAGCATTCCATCTAAATCGTCATTACAATAAAAAATAGATG